TCATCCTGGCCCACTCCTCCCTTTCCCATGTTCTTTGGGAGTCATCCCAGCTCCAGGTGGGCTGTGCCAGGCAGGAAAAAGCACTGGCAGGTCCCTCATCTCTCCCAACAATGGCTGTGGCAGCAAGGGCCTTGTTTACCATTCCTCCCACATTCCCTCCACATTCCCTCTAGGCTCTCACCCCTTGGACTGGCCATTGGCTCGGTTTTCCGCGAATTTCAGCTCCACCACGTCGTAGACTCCGATGGAGCGGATGGTCTGGATCAGCTGCTGGTCAGTTGTCCACTGAGGGGGAGAGGGGACAAGCTGCTGTCTGTCTGTCTGTCTGTCCCCAGTGTCCCTCAGGCCACTCAGACTTGGGACACCTGAGCACTGGCACCCTCAGGGAGCTTAAAACCATCCTTACGTCTGGAAGAAACCCTGGGAATGGCTATCAGAGGGCTCACTATTCTCTGGGCAAGACAGAGCATTACCAAACGTCTCCCCACATCCATGGGAAGGAGAAGAGGACTCAGGTGCAGCCCAGCCAGGCAGAGGCACCAGCTGATACAAGGGAAGGTGGTTGTCCACTCCAAACAGCTCTGAAGGCCCTAAGGGATATAAATCCCCATACCCTGAGGATCACAAGGTCAAGCCCAGCTCACCACCTTGCTTGGGATACTGGGACAGTGTGGACTGAGGAGGAGCAGCACCCCGAATAGCCAGGCAGCCCCCCTGAAAGAGCCCAGGACTCTTCCAAGAGCCCCAGAGTCCCTCAGGGGTTTCTCTGCAGGCCTCAGGGATCCAAATTCCTTTTCCCTGAGGATCCTAATGCCAAGCCCAGATTTTAACCTGGACAGGGATACTGGGACAAGGCAGATTGAGGAGGAGCAGCCTCCCAAGGAGTCCTGTAGCCCCCAAAAAATCCCTACAGCCCCATAGGGATCCCAATCCCTTTTCCCTGAGGATCTGGATCCCACTGGGACTCACCCAGGAGAAGCTCCCAACGTAGACAGCAGCTCTCTTGTTCCTGAGCCCGCTGTAGGTGTAGAGGATAGCGGGAGGTTTGCTGTTGGGCTTGGGAGAGGGTTCCTGGCGGATCTCTGGCGGTGCCTCGTTGCTGCCGGAGCGGTTTTCTGGGGGCTGGGAGCTGGCGGCTAACACGTCGTCATACAGATCCATCTGGTCAGCATTACTGAACTCTGAGTCCTGCTGGAGGGCATGCCATGAGAGCCTGGCTTGGGAAAGGGATCTGGGGTTTTTCCAGGGATCTGGGATCCTCCCACATCCCCCCAGCAAGGACCACCTAGCACCAACCCACCCAGGAGGTGCTTCAAATCACCTCATGGCGCTGCCGTGCCAGAGGCTATGGATAAGCAAGGATGGACCGGGAAGCTTCCTTTGCCATTTCCAAACCTGTTGTCCCAATTCCCAAGCTGAGCTCCCAAGCTGAATTCCCAATTCCCAAGCTGAGTCCAAAGGTTTATGGCCCAAACCACTTGGTTTGGGTTGGTTCACAGTTGAGGTTTATAACCATCCCTTGCCTGTGCAATCCTCCAAAATGGCTCTGGAATCATGGAATCCTGGAACGGTTTGGGTGGGAAGGGGCATTAAAGTTCATCCCATTCCACCCCCTGCCATGGACAGGGACACCTCCCACTAGCCCAGGGTGCTAAAAGTACCATCCAACCTGGACTGGAACACTTCCAACTATGGGGCAGCCACAACTTCCCTGGAAAATCCACTCCAGTGCCTACCCACCCTCACAGGGAGGAATTTCTTCTCAACATCTCAGGTAACCCCCCTCTGAGCTCCAGCTCACTCCAAGGATGAGCCCACTGGCTCTCAGCTCACACAGATTCCCGCCAGCTCCTTCCCCTTGGCACAGCTTTCACACAGCCAAGGAAGCTCCGGAGCTGGGAATTCCAGTGTGTCCTAGATCTGCCTCCCAATTCCCACTCTATTCCAGGCTATATTTAATTTGGAGCACACAGTGAGCGCTGTGTTTACTATGGATCCTCAGGCTAAGTGCTCAGCCCGTTCCAATGTGTGCTGAGTGTCACTTCATCCCACAAAATCATTCTATGAGGACCTGTCCCATGGGATGGAGGCACAGGGCTGGTGTGGCATTAAAACCAGAGGCTCTGCTCCCAAATTCTTAATTCCAGGTGGTTTGAACAATATTTTCTGCTGGAGACAGTGTGAGGTGGATAAATCCACCCTGTGAGGATCAGGGAATTACAAACATCCTGTTGGGATCTCAGGGATCAGACAGGGAATGATGCTCAGGCTTTCCAAGGATCATAGAAATCCCCAAATCCAACCATTCCCTCTTTTCTTGATAGCAGCACTCCAAGGCAAGTAAGAAGTTTGGCATCCAGTTTTTTCTGTGGAGCTGCTAAAAAGAAGGATTGGGAGAGGAACTGTGGTTTGTGTTCATTCCCAAAACAGCTCAAGTGTTTGGATAATCCAACTCCCACACTCCAACCTCCACCAGGAGCCTCTGGATACAGCCCAAGGCTGGAAGATTCCTGCCTGGAAGTTTCAGAAAGTCAAGAACAAAAATAGGAAGGGAACAAAAATAGGAAGTGGAGGCTAGGGGAGGAATCCCTCAGGATGCTTCAGCTTGGGAGTTTTTAGGAATCCTCCAGCTCCCAGTCCATGCCCAGTGTCTTCTGAGATGCACAGGGATGAATCCAGGCATTTAGTGGGGATTACCACGTGTGCTGTGGGATTTGGATCCACTCTGGCATCCCTGGAGTGCCACAGGGACACCACAGTCCCTTCCCATTGTGCTTTGATCCCAACATGGACTGATTCCAGGTTGACTCCGTGGCTACCCAGGTCTCCCTTCTGCTCCCAAATCCAGGAATACCTTTTCCCCAATGCAAATTCCATTAAAACACACAAATTGAGGCCATTCCTAAGCCAGAGCTGTTCCATGTGGTCCCAGTCCTGTACTGAATAGTTTAATACACAGGGAATCAAGTTTATTCCAGGAGTTTTCCAGGAATGATGTTGGAAAAGGTGTTTTGGAGTCAAAGGATTGTTCCAGGCAGCATAAACAATTCCATGTTTTGGTGACATTCCCATTATTTTGGCAATGTAACAGACCCAGCCCTATCTGTGGCAGTGGAGAATTCCTGGTTCTTCCCAGGAGTCTGGAAAGCACCTGGCAATCCCAATTTCCTGGTTTTCCTGAAGGTCTAAATCCATGGTATATTCTCACCACATAGTCAGAACAAGCTCCTTCCTCTTCATTCCTCTGGAAGCTCACAGGGATTATTCCTTGCTCCATGGTGATTCCTTTCTCCAGGTGTTTTCTTTCCAGTTCACACAACTTTTCCTCTTGCCAACTTCCCTCCAACAGTTTTCCATGGCAGTTTCCAATCTTCCAACATCTGTCTCCACACTTGCTCTCCCAGATCCATGAATTCCCTAAAATCTGCTTCTCCAACACCCTTTTCCTTTGCCATTTCCTCCTGCCAATCCCAGGCATCCCTGGGATGGGGCAAGTGGCACAGGGACATCTCCCCCCCCACATTCCCAACCTAGATGATCCCATAGATTCCACCCTCTGCCTCCCCTCAGTGTAATTCCCTGCAAGTGCCTCTTCCAGCTGGGATTTCCCATTTTTCCAACCAAGATGCAGCCAAACCCTTAAATCCCAAACACTGGGATTGAATCCATGTGTTGAATCCCACAGGGAAACCCTTTAATCACAGCTGGAGCTGGAAGAACCCAGGATTTAGGAATGATTCCAGGCCTCTCTAGAGAACACTGAGTTGAGATCTCTCCCAAAGAAAAGAGGGATGTCCATCCCAATCCCAGCTGGAAAAACTCCTCACCTGGTTGAACTCCTCGTCGGCGTAGATGTCAATCAGATCCACTCCCTCGGACATATTTCCAGAGGTGGGAAAGTGGGAGCCCGGGATGGGACCGGGATGGCGCAGGGACACGGAATGGGCTCTGCTGAGGGGGAACACAGAGGGGGAGACAGGGTCAGGGAGGGAGTGGAGACACACAGGGTGTCCCCAAATCTCTTCTGCTCCCCCAATCCCCTCTGTGCCCCCCAAATCCCTTATGTCCCCC